TCCTTCCCTCCCTCCCTTCCTCCCTTCCTCCCTTCCTCCCTTCCTTCCTTCCTTCTAAGGCTAACTTAATCCTATCCCATCCTGGCCTGAATCACCATCCCCCAACACACAGCCAAATCAAAGCTGTACTTTTCACCTTCCTACCAAACAGCCCTCCTCCCACCACTCCTTCTGGAGCCTCCCCAGGCATAGCCCTCCCCCGTGCCTGCGGGTGGGATGCTCACTAATGTGAGTGTGAAGCCCAGCTCTCCCACTAGAGACTTCACCTCTCTGGGCCCCAGTTTCTCCATCTGTAAAATGGGAGCAGGATATCTGACCCCAGTTCCCAGGTCTGCCTCCTCTCTACCTCTTCTGACAGTAGTCACCTGAGCCTCACTCTTACCTGCCCTGCTGGTTCACTGTTACCAAGCTCTGCCCAGAATCTTGAGTGCATCCTGTGACCTACAGAAGAAGATCCCACCACATCCTAGCCTCTGGGACCACCACAGTCAGGGCCCAGGACCCTGAGGGGACTGTTGACATCACCATTTTACAGATGAGGAAACTGAGCCCCAGATCACTCTGCCAGGATCTAAACAAGGCTGTTTTTCTCAGAAGGGTAAATGCATGATAGGTTAGAGAGTTCCCAGGGAGGGAGCGGTTCCTGGGGAGAGAGAATAGTCAGAGAGCTTTATGGAGGAGATGACATTTTAGATCTAGAGCTTCCCAGACACAGCACCACTGGGCAGGGAGTAAGCCAGGCAGGGAGACCTGCAAGGGCAAAAGGCCTGAGGTGGGAACCGGTATGGTGTGTTTAGGGCCCAGCGAAGGGGTCAGGAGGAAAGCAGGAGGGAGATCAGATCTAGTACTGACATTGCTATGAGCCCAGGCAGAGGGCACTAGGAGGAACAGGGTGGCTGGAGGGGCTGGGTGAACTCCCACTGGGGGCTGTCACCTGGGTACCCATCAGGGCCTCCTCTCTGTGAGGGCAGCCTTTCTTGAGTGCTTCATTTTGTTCACTCTTAGTGCCTAGTTCGTTTCGGCTTTGGCCCCATTTAACAGATGAGGAAATAGGCTTCAAACAAGCCCTCCCTTGGTCAGAATCGTCAGCTTTTCAGGCCTTGCCGCCCCCCCCCCTTCCCGCCAAGTAAAACAGGATCTTAGGAGCCCTGGGCCCAACTAGGGGTCACTTGGGATCCTTAAAACCAGCCCTCAGCTACCTCTTCCAAGAAGCCTTCCAAGTTAATCTGGCCAAAGACCTCCTTCCTCTGAATTCAGCCCTTGCCTGTGTCAGGCCCAGAAAGTGGAGGTTTTGCAGGCAGGCCGGTGGTTTTGGTCTTTCTGACTCTGCCTAGCCCACCACACACCTCCATGCAGAAAAACTGAGAAGCTGAGGGAGGGAGGCTTTTGGGAGGGAAAATATTTTGGTTCTCAGAAGGCTCAAGAATTGCCTGACTCCCAGTCGATTAGGAGTAATTAACCCTTCGCGAGGTAGTAATTAAGTCTGTGCCTCTAAAACCATAATTAGAAGCTCCAGGAGGCTCCACCCCCTCCCCAAGAGCCAGGCAGCCCCCAAAGCTGAGGCAGCAGGGACTGGGGACAGGGCTCTGTTCTCCTCTCGGGGCTGAGGGAGACCCACATTATCCCTCGTTCCCCCTCCCTGAGGACAGGGAACCAGGGAACAGCATTTATGGAGCCTGTGCCCATCCCTGCACAGTCCCTTTTGGGGTTGTCAGACCACACAAGGGGACTTTCCTCTTGGCAGGGATGAAGGTGGGGATTGGGCTGGGCTGGGGTCTGGGATGTGGGGCCGGCAACAACCCTTGAGGACTTTTCTCTCTGGCCAAAAAGAGCTTAAGCAGAAACTCCTGCCTCAAATGAGGGTGAGGACACCAGGGACACAGGCTGGCCGCAGAAGGATTAGGACAGTCCTACCCGGGCTCACAGAGGCCAGGGGATGCCCTCTGGTGGGAGCCCTCACCACAGTCAATAGGCATTGGTCAGGCTGTGTGGCTCCTGGCTCTCCCAGGAGGGCAAGGAGGGGGCTTTGCAGAGCCGGCCCCCTGACCCAGTGCGCATGGAGCGCCTGGTGTGGGGCAGCTGGCACACAAGGAACCCTGGACATGCAGGCCACACGGGCACCTGCTTTGCCCTGTCCCAACAATCTAACCCAAGGAGCTGTCTCAGGCCAACTCCAGGTCCCCCAGCCCTAGGCCAGCCACCACCCAGTTCTCTCTCCTGCGCATGCCCCTTGGTGGTGTAATTGCCCCCAGTATCATCAGAGGCACAGGCTGGGGAGAAGGCGGTGGGGCGGGTGGGCTGAGCTCTTTCTCAGGGAGGGAGACCTGGTGCCAGGCTGTTGTGGGGGGGTGTGTGGCAGGGGGGTATCTGTGTGGAGCTGGGTGGTGCTGAGGGATTTATCAGGGTGAGGTTTATTCTCCCCTCCGGAAGGTGGCGCTCGAGTCGTCTCCAAAAGGAGAGCTGACGTCCCACCCCACCTCTCCAGACACCTCTCGGCTCTAGCCAGCCAGACCAACTTTCTTCCCGTAATGCCCCAAGCTCCTTTCTGCCCTAGGAACTTTGTCCTCAGTGCTGCCCACTGGATCGCCATGCCCCTCTCTTGAGGCTGGGGCCTATCTCCCTTCAGCCTCAGGACGAACATTGTGTCGGAGGAGAGCCCTCCCCACTCACCTCATTTAGAGCAGGCTGCCCCTCTGGTTTGTCTCTCTGTTTATTTTCTCCTTTAAAACACTTCTCTCTGCCAGCAGTGGCCTCCAGAGTTATTGTCTCCTTGCTCTTCTGTCTTCTCCCAGGCTACAAATTCCAGAAGGGCAGGGAGGTTTACCTGTTCTGTTCCTTTTGTGTCTGAACCCAGAACAAAGCCCGGTACACAGTAGGTGTTCAATTAAGTGTTTGGTGGTGGCGATGGTGAATAAATGGACAAGGTGAGCGTGCATGGAGCGGCTGGGAAAAGGCGAACGTGGAAGAGAATTTGGTAGGTATGGGCTGTGTTGTACACTGATGCCCACCCCGCCCCCCGCCCTGGAAGTAAAACGCCCTCGCCCACCGTCTCGGGAGGCGCACGCACCTCCCCACAGTGGCCCACAGGTGGCGCTCGTTCCCCGCGCTGCAGCGGCGCGAAGCACAGGTGGAACCTCCGACTGCGGGGTGATGCGGAGGCACCGCCAGATTTAGCCTCCTCCCCGCCTGCCTCCTGGGGTCAGCCCCGAGTTTGGACGCCAGGCCCCGGAACTCTGCGTCTGGTTCCAACTCCTGGGGTCTGGGAGGCGCGGGGATGGCAGCTGAGTGTTGAGGGGGACTGAGAGCTCCGCCCCTCTGCCCCACACAAGCCCCTGCTCCCCACAAAACTAGTTAAGCTGCCCGTGCCTGGGGGAGGGGTAAGTGCGGGGAAAGCGCTTACTATGCGCATGTCCTGCCTTTAGAGCGAGGCAGAGTGCAGGGTGCTTACTGGGCCCTCGGTGCATACTTGTGAAATAATGAATAGGTGAACCCCCATTTTACAGATGGGGAAACTGAGGCTCAGTGAGGCTGCATGGAGTACCCAGGTTCACGAAGCCAAAATATGGTGAGGCTGGGGTTGGAGCTCCAGGTGTGTCCAACTCCAGGGTCAGCTGGTTTAAAAAACATTTAAAGGCCTGCCAGCTGGCATGGTTCATACATTGAGCATCCACCTATGATCCAGAAATCACGGTTCATTCCTGGTCAGGGCACATGCCCCGGTTGCGGGGCTGGATCCCCAGTAGGGGGCGTGCAGGAGGCAGCCAATCAATGACTCTAATCACTGATGTTTCTCTCTCTCTCTGCCTCTCCCTCTCTCTGAAATCAATAAAGACATTTAAAAAAACAAAACACATTTAAAGATGGATTTTTTAGTTACCCACAGTGATAAAGAAATCCCTCTGGAAAGCTAAAGACTTCTGTGACCCTCCTTACTTCAGTCCCCAGACAGCAGGTATGCCCTACCTCTGCATTCACACACATACTCGGGGCAGGGTTGCGCCTGGATTTCTAGCTGGGTTGCTGGGCATAAACTTCCCCTTTCTGAGTCCATTTCTTCATCTGTAAAGTGGGCTTAATGGTCATTAAACCATCTCCCCAGCTGGCTGTGAGGACTGAATGAGTTATACCCACAAAAGTCTTTCAAGCAGAACCTGGCACACATGGGCTGTGCCCAGACCTGTGGGTCCCTTCTGGTGGTCTACACATCCTGGTGGGAAGCACACCAGGCTTAAGAGGTAGGTCCTGGTGCAAGTGTGTATCTGTGGCCTGAGGCCACCCAGGACCCCACTGTGCATCTGTGTTTGATGTGTTACCCTCAGCTGTTTCCACGTGGAAGTCAGTGAGTGTGCCACGGTGTACTGGCAACTGGCTCCTGTAGACCAGGGTTCTCAACCTCAGCGCTTCACATCGGTACCGGATCGCTCTTTGCTGTGGGGGCTGTTGTGAGCACTGTAGGGTGCTGAGCAGCATCCCTGGCCTCCACACACTAGATGCCAGTAACACCCTCTATCTCAACCGTGACAATCCCAAATGTCTGCAGACTTTGCCAAACCTGCCCTGAAGGGCAAAATTACCCCTATGGAAAACCACCGCTGAATACCCTTCTGGTGTGTGCACACACTGGCCAGTGCACGCTTGTGAACTTCTGCCCTGGGTGCCTCGGTTAGGCTTCCTCCAGGAGCAGATCCAGACACAAGGATCACAGGGTGCTTGGCTTATTTGGGAGATACAATGGTCTGAATGTGTGTGTCGCTCTCAAATTCATATGTTGAAATCCTACCCCCAACATAATAGTGTTAGGAAGTGAGGTCTTTGGGAGGTGGTGAGGTCATGAGGGTGAAGCCTTCATGAATGGGATTATTCCCCTTATAAAAGGGGCCCAGAGAGCTCCTTGTCCCTCCCACCATGTGAGGACATAGCAAGAATGTAGCCATCTACATGAACTTGGAAGTGGGCCCCCACCTGAACCCCACCATGATCTTGGACTTCCAGCCTGCAGATCTATCAGAAACAAATGTCTGTTGTTCATAAGCCACCCAGCCTATAGTATTTTTGCTATAGCAGCTGCAGCTGACTAGGACAGGAGATGTTCACAGGGAACTTGGAGAGGGGGAGAAGGAAAGGAGGCAGCTGGGTCCCCCTGGGCCCTCTGGGATTCCATGTGGACCATGCACTGGCCGGGAGAGGAAGCTTGGGTATTTACCCACTAAGTCCCTTCCACCTCCTGCCAAGGGCTTCTCCTGGGGCGTTTATTCCTGAACTTGTGACTCCTGGCCACAGGCATTACTGTGGTCAGGGCCCAGATGTCTGGCTCTGTAGCATCTGTGCCAAAGGAAGTGTGGATGTGGGGGGGTGGTCATTCCTGGGGTGTCTCTGGACTGCCTGAACAAGACTGTAGGAGCCCACCCCGATTTCCGCAGCTGGCTGTGTGTGTATGTGGTGCGCCAGTGTGTGTTTCTCTGCCATGCGTGTGTTTGCGTCTGTATTTATCTGGCACGAGTGTGCTGTCTTTGTTTTCCCTTCTGCTTCGTCTCCGAGAATGTGGGGGAAACTTCTGTTTTTAATCAAGGGCCAGGGAACTGTCTGGTCGTCGTCGCCACAGTAGCAACGGTGTTATTAATTGGGCTGATTGGAAATTACCTTTCTGAGCCTTCCATGACATGGGGCCAGAGGAGGCTTGTCCCGGGACCCTCACAGAGGGAGCAGCAGCAGGAAAGTGCCCCGCCCTCTCCCTGTGTGCCAAAAAAGGAAACTGAGGCATGGCTGTAGGAGGCCCCTCAGTTTGCAGCCAGGGGAAGGGAATTAACATCTCCTAGAAAATAATTATGTGTAAAGCATTTTACATGCATAAAAGCTTGGTGAAGTCCCTTACACATAGGAGAAAATGACTTCTCACTCCCATTTACAGATGAGTAAACTGAGGCTGGGGTGGGACCCCGAGCTCGTGTGAGGCCAGAGACTCAGTCTTCAAGGCTTGATTCTTTGTTCCTTCAAATGGTAACCACTTCTGAAGTTGTCCGGGGCTGTTTGGTCCTCCTCTGTGCCTCAGTTTCCCCTTCTGGTCATCATAAGGCCTTCCCTGTTAGCCAGCCCAAGGGAGGCTTAAAAATCCATGTTGCCTGGCAAGGTGCCAGCTTTTTCATACTTTCCTTCCTTCATTGCTGCAGACCCAGGGGCCTGGCTGGCTCTGTGAACACAGATATTAATTAGTGTTAATTAATAACCCTCTGTGGGGTGGGGGTGCTGCCTGTGGATCCCTAAGCTCTGACAGACTGAGAGGCTGACTTGGATCCCTGATGTGTGGTGGTTGGAGCCTGCGGACAGGCAAGGGCATGCACCAAGACCAGGGCCCAGGGATGGCATCCCCTGGAAGGCCTTCACTGGCCAGGGTCGCCTCCGGGGCCTAAATCTGGAAGGCTGAGACCCAGGCCCTGTGTCTTCCTGTAGTTTCAGAAACTCATCTGGGCTGGAGGGCACCCTCACCCTATTATCTGGGAGATGGAGCCTGTGATCCCCGGAAAGGTCACATGTTCAGCTCAAATCCCCATTCTGACACCTACTGAAGTATGTGGCTTACCCTCTCCTGGCCTCAGTTTCTTCATCTATGACATGAGGGTTGTTGGAAAATATTAACGACCATGTGCATTTCATGGCAGTTACACACTGTCCCTGTGGAAGTCAGTAACCAGTAGCCACTGTTGTGACAAAAGGCCACTAGGGCCAGCTCTGTTGCTTACCAGCTGAGTGACCTGAAAATTGGCATTCAGTGTACTGGATATCACTTTTGTCATTTGTTAAATGGGACTAACACAGTATGAACTTCATGAGGTTCTTGTAAAAGTTAAGTAAAATATGCCCCTAAAATGCTTACAACAGTGCTGGGCATGTTATAAGTACACAATGAAATTGGTGAAACCAAGGGAGAAAAGAAACAGCTGTGATTGGGCTAAAGCTTAGAGGTATGGGGTCCAGGTAGGAGAATGTTCCATCCTAACATTGGGATGGAACCCCCCAATGGGAGTGCCCCAAGAGGTTATCTCAAATGTGGGCTGGAGCTGCCCAGTGATGCTACAGTCTAGTTGAAATGATGCTTTTGTTCCAGGGAGATCTGCAGAAGCTTTCTTAACCCATCCCTAACCCCAAACCCTGAGGAGGCTGGGAGATCCAGAGTGCAGGTGATCTGGGAGGTGAGTCCAGAAAGTGTGGGGAGGGGAGAGAGGGAGTGAGGAAGGGAAGGAAGGGTGTTGGGTGGGGGCATGTTCACGAGAGTCTCCACTGGGCAACTGGGGTCCGGTGCTGCTGGGGAATGCTGAGACAGAGCAGAGCACATCGCTCAGAGTTTTCCCACAGGGGCGAGGGAGCTGGGGTACTTATCCACCCCCCCACTCCCACTCCCACTCCCACTCCCACTCCCACTCCCACTCCCACTCCCACTCCCACCCCATCAGTCACTGGGCAAGAGTTGCTACAGCGGTGGACTTGCTCTCTGGCATTTTCTGTCCGCCCTGGGGATGGCCGCAGCAGCTAGGGGCTGGTTGATGGACACCATGAGGTCTTTGTGCCCAGGAGTGCCATGGGGATGTGGGTGGGCACTGACACTCTAGGGAAGACAATACACAGAATAAGTAAGTCCCAGGGCATGTTTGAAGCGGTACCTGTTCAAGAAAAAAGGACAATTAGAAAAGGGCAGAGGTAAGGC